TGTGCTCAGAAATACAAATCCAAACTTTAAAAGTCTGGAAGTGATTGGATTGCAGAGTCCTGAAAAATAATTTGGTAAAGTAATGAAAACGGGTATGATTACAGAGAGCGTAATGAGTCCTTGCTCCAATTAATGCATTAGCTTCAAGATCTCAGCCAAATTGGTTTCTGTGATAGGCCCGCTCCACAACACGGGTGTCATAAATACCAGCCATGAAGAAAAGGCTGGCAATCGATTTGTCATCAGAGAATCAATAGCAAAAAAAAATTTAGCCCATTCAAATGTAGTTATAAAAGAGGATTTTTTTCCCTAATAGCAAATAATTACAACTGGTAAGTATAAGGAACTGTTGGCTCATCAGAGAAAGCGGTCAGTCGCAGATGCAGACATTTTGAACTACTTTTCTCTGCTCAGTACGACAGTCCTGGGAACAGGTAAAAGGCTAATCTGGCTTCACACTCTGCCTCCTCCCCCGTGTGCTAACGTACAAGGGATGTGGTTTATGTTTTCCACGACTGAAGCCACAGGCCGCGGGGCCTGTGCCACAGCTAGCCGAAATCCTTAACGAGCCGGATCTCACCGGTGCCAGAAAAGATGTCAGCTTCTTGAGAAACGAGGAAAATCCGGCTTGTGGCTCAGCCCACGCTGGAGCACCGTGACCACTTTTGTGGCCGGGGGCTGGCTCCTGACCCCCGCGAGGCAGAGCTCGGCCCGGGAGCCGGGGGAACCGGCCCTGCGCTGGGCCCTCGCCCCGGCCCAGGCTGACAGCAGCCGGGCTCCGAAATGCCCTCCGGTCCGGCACCCGGGGCCACCGCAAAGCTCGATACAAGATGTTTGGTTTGGGAGAGGTTTTTGGCATCTCCCTGGCAGTCAGGGACTACGTGTATTCTCATTTTTTAATGTAGGGGTGAACGAGCTTTTTTGATACTAAATTCTGTTCAATTTCCCCTTGATGAGGAGCGTTCAGTTCAGTCAGAAAACTCTCTTGCCACAGCCTTCAGCATTACAATTCACTCTCTCAGCAGCAGATACCATTTCTCTCAACCAGCACTTGACGACAGTTTCCTTTTGCCTTCCTCCGGGCAAATGCTTTCACGGGTAGAGAGACCAGTAAATCAGTTTTCTGGTCTATTAATACCCATGGGCTGCATTCTTCGGGGGAGCTGCCAAACCGCTCACGAAAGAGCCCCGGAGCATTAGCTGAACCTATCAGGTTCCCCACAAACTGAGCAGGCTTCAACTCTGTGACTTGAAGCATGCCTTTACCTCCGTGAAATTCAGACCTGCGACAAGAAAAGGAGAAAAGCAGCAGCCGTCCCCAAAAGGTGAGTAGCTCACACAAAATAAGAAGAGAAATATGCACATACTAAAATGTAATTAAATATTGTCGTTCACAGTGTAGCTTTCCCTTGCCACTTGGAAATTCTCCAAGTATACTGAACCCATCCATTTACAAACCAAACGACCCAGCATCAGTTAGCACATCCTGAAGAAGTGCTTAATCTACATAACATAGGCCATCTACTGCAGATTTAGCTGTTGAAAGTTGTCCTCTTTCAAGATGCTGCAGTGTTATATGCAGTGTTATTGTTTAAAGTTTCATTTTTATCCACATTTGGTGTTGTATTTTGTTTGTGGCATAAAGGCAACAGAACATTTTCTACCACTACTATTGTTAGCAGTGCTTTAATCATGATACTTTGAAACCTAAACCTGACTTCGAGCAGTTCACAAAAGGTCACCCTCAGAAATCTTACAGAAAGTTGGCACCTGTGCAACCTTTTACGCGCATTTATATAAGGCACTGAACGTTTTTAATTGAGATAGAAGCACACCATTCAACATTCAGTCACAAGGCTAGAGAAAAGCAAGTGATCTCTACCTTACAGAGCGCATTAACTAATTAAAGTGAACTTCAGTGTCTTTGAAAAGAAGAGGTAGTGTCAACTTGTGCCCCGCACAACGCAGCGTATACTGGGGGAAGAGGGGAACACAGCTCTACGCGCAAAGCTCATGCAGCACTCAGTGTTCCAAACGGGCCCTAAGGTTTCTCAGAGGGAGCTGTCAGAAAAAGAAACCATTGTGGGGTGACCCCACTTCCCTTGGCACTTATGAAGACTTCTGTTACGTTGGTTGAAATCCTTAACCTTTGACTTCTCCTCAGCCTGCACTAACTCGACACGGAAGGACTGCACTGACCTGCAGCGTTTCATGCAGCAGGGATTTCCGACTGCCCAGTCTGACCGGCCATCCATTTGTGCTAACTGAAAAGCAATAATTAAAAGCACATGTCCTTTCTGATCACCGGTGTTTTCTGTGGAAGCAGACCCATTGCTGCTTTTGTTTCACCATCCAATTTTCTTTTTTGCCCTGTGTAACTGGCTTTGGGGCAACCACATGTTGCAAAGCTGATCAATCTTTCAGCAACTTCGAAACTAGTTATCATTAAACTTCTGCCTACTATTTTGTGCCAACATAATCCTTTTAAACGTCTGACCTGTGATCTCTCCAGTCAGCATCGGAGATGGAGAACAGCAGCACCTGCCTAAAAAAGCAGAAGGGACTTTGCAAGGAACTCTGCTCTAAAATATTTTCATTACATTGATACAATATTTTTACTACCAAAGCCTTGTTTGGTTTTTTGGTGCTCATTTATGTTTTGGGTTTTTTTAAGTTAATATCAGGAAGAGAGCTCAGTCAGCTGGTATTCAAGCAGAGCTACAGACCGCTGAAGGGAAGCTGGGCTGGGCACTGGGAATATCTTTCACAATTCCTGTCCTCGGTCCAGCTTTGGACACTTGTCACATGCCAGATATTGGACAAACAAGAAGCATGAAGAATTCACTTTTGTAACAAAATTTATTTTTGCTCTGTGAATACAAATCCCAAACATCAACAAACAAATTCCAGTGGAAAAATACCAGTCATTAACAATGAAAACTTTTATTATTATTCAATAAATAGAACTTTGGCATTCAAAATTCTAGCTGTAAACCCTACTTTAAAAAAAAATTACAAAAAGAGGCAAGAACAACAAGCCTAAAGCTGAGCCAGCCAGTGGCTCCTTTACTTTTTACAATGAACACATTGTGATTAAGTCATGACAACTCTATTTACATATGAGGTATTCTGAGCGGTTCAAAAATTGAACCCAATTTACAAAACTACCAGTCTTCAGGGACTGATCCAGTACATATGTCAGCTGTGCTTTTAAAAAGTTAGCTGTAGACTCTCCTCCCTACTGAACTAATGATATATTGTAATTAATATACACAAAATAAACACATTATGATTTGAGTTTCCTGCTCACTCTTCATTTTCAAAAAAGCTGTATACTACAACCAGCCCAACATTCAAAGTGTACACCTAGTACCTAGTTTAAGTACTTTTGTTTCTATACATTATGCGAGAGTTCTTACTACAAAAGCTTATAAACAAAGTATCGGCAGGTAAGAGGAAAACAAGGTGCAGTCATCAGCATCCTAACTTATTTAAAGTTCAAGGGGAATATACACTTACTTCAGGCAAAAAAAGGCACAAAGGTATGCAGCTGTGGAATTAATATTGCTAATGTGCTATTGGAATAAATCATCCCTTTAGATAATAACCACTCATTTGTTTGCAGTCTGAGAATGCAGATTAGTTCAGAAGATCTCCTCCCCATTCACGATGGAACTCATCACATCAATGAGAAGAGCCCGATTAAACCTTCAACCCCGCCAGGGTAACATCATTGACAAGGATAAGGAAAACTGGAGTAAATTACACTGATGCAGAGAGACTGCAGTGTGCTGTCACTGCCCGTGCTAGGGCAGCAGGCCCTGGAGGAAGGGGCTTACTTGCTTTCTTTCCTTGTGCTCTTACCCTGCAAGAAAAACGTTCGAAACGAAAAGGCGGGCAGCGAGGGCAAAGGAAGGAAGGAAATATTTTGGAGTGAAAAGGACAAAATTTCAGCTCTCGTAATGACTTCATGGCCACCAGCAGTTTCGAATGCCAGAGCCCAAGCGCGTGGTTACAGCAATCTCCACAATTTCACACAACTATCACACTACAAAGCTGCACAGCCGAGGCTAGCAACCTACATCACGTTTACACAACTGAGCGGCGTTACTTCTATATAGTAAATACATAGCATCATCTATAGCTTGTCCAAAGACAGGTACTTTCCAAGTCTTTTTCAAAATACATTCTAGAATACAGTAGTTACTGTAAATAACTTCTAAAAGATTGTATAAATTCCATCTGAAATGATACAAAAAATTACTGTACAAATTTGCTGACAGCCAGAACGGGACAATATCCATTCGTGAGCAGTTGTTTTTCAGCCCTTGAGATTGTCTAATAGATACAGCAAAAAGTTGTCATGACTAAATCTAAGCAATTCCAATGTTAACATTCATTAATCAACTCTGTATTAAATATGCTCAATGAGACCACACACACTATATTTTAACCAATTAAACAATCATGCATATCTTTGACAAAGCTTAATCCATTTAGAGGCATCCGTAAACTGATGCATATATAGTAATTGCTACTACTACAACAGGCCAAATTTAAAGAAATCAAAGCAAAATACTGTATCGCTATAGTCAATTGGTAGTCTGCATCTTTGGCTCATACATCCATCATTTACCTCCCTACTGTAATTTGACTGAGGCAGATAAACTCAGGGGTTTTTAAAATCAAGTGCTTTAAAGTCAACATAAATATTATAGGTTCCATAATAAAAATATTACAGTGCAAGATTACAGCACTGCAATCAAAGTGTTACAAATAAAATGGGACCTCCTTCCTGAGGGACTTTCAACTAATACTTGAAAAGCATAAAAGCTCCTTAAGTGCTTTGCAGATACGAATTACTGATCTCAGCTCTGCAGTATGGTATCACCGTTTAACAGGAGGGACAGTGGAGGCATGCCAGCCAAGTGACCAGCTTAATAGTTCAAAGTGACTCAAAAAAAATATCCTGCTCCTCTCTCATTTCTCTATTAAACTCCTTGTTATTTCCACCAAATTTAGAAAAATGTGTTGTTTGGTGATTTTTTTTTTTTATTAGGTACAATGTTTCCATCTAAGGTAATAATAACATGCAACTTAAGTGTTTCCTCTCTCCTCCTGAAATACCACTGTTGAATTCTGATACGAGACAGAAGCATAAATTGGAGACTGTTACTTCACTGCAGGGCCAAAACCAACGAACTACACCAAAGGAACGAGCTGAGGCCTTGGTCACAAAAGCCAATACTGTGAGAGGCACAGGCAACTGTGCAAGCCCATTTGTGCAGAGATCCTTGTTTTCAGTTTTGCACTAGCATAAAAGTACACCTTCAAATCTACAGAAAGAGCACAGAAATTTAAAATAAAACGGCCTTGCTTTTTACCTTGAAATAGAGACACTAGGCAACTTCACTTGAGATTTCATCTAGACACTGTTTTAGTGCTCACAGGAGCTGAACCAGTCAGATTGATCTAGCTGAAAACACTATGTAGCAATAATATAAATAGCAACACTATTTTTCACAAATTAGTCCATGTGTAGTTTCAGGATAGAGAAAACTGTCAAATAAATAAGTCCATATAGCTAAAAAAAAATAAATCACTAAATTAAAAAAACAACATTAATGGCAACTATTTAACAACAAACAGAAAGCAAAACATCACCAAGTTAAAACTGGTAACCAGCCTATATTGCTATAGCACTTCTTGCTATTAACATAAATATAATCAGAAAACTGAAGATACTAACACTTTTGCCATGAAAATATCACCCTAGAATTTACTTGGTTCTAACTGCTAAGCTTTCTAAGAGATATCTGCTGTTATCGACACTACAGGTCAGTTGACTGACTTGCACCTTAGTCACTTGAAACTTTCTTTTAATACCATATACGTAACTGATGCTCATGTATTTTCTTAACAGTATCATCTGAGAGTGGTTTTGCTCTTTTCAAGTTTTTGTTTCCTTCACTTAAATACTATTTTACACTATGCATAACTGTGCAGCTAACTTTCAGTAATGTTCCAGGAAAAATTAGAAGTATTAATACGTCATCTGTCCCACAGGAGTGAAACAGCACTGCCAAGTGACACTCACTGAATAAACTATGGAACATGACCTTTTAATTCTTTTAATGCAATTGCTTCCTAGATAGAGAAATCAAGAATTCCCAAACAATGTGGAAAATTTTGCAGTCCTCAGATAACCGAGTACTTAATACTGCTAATTGGAAACATTCTGTTCTGAGCCCTGATTTTGCCAAGTGCCAAACACCCGTTTTGCAGCTGTGGTAAAAAATGGTTGAGGTGGTTCACAACCTCATCAGAGGCCTTCAGGGAAGGAACATAGACGAGCCACATTTTAAAAATGGAGATGACCTAAGGGAAAAGTAAGTATGGTACAAACACTAAAATACAGGTGGGGGTTTTTTATGTTGTTTTTTTGTTTGTTTGTTTGTTTGTTTGTTTTCTCTGACAGCCATGTACTATGCTGCAGTTTCATGCCTTCCAGCTTCTCTGGGTTTGTCACAGACTTCATGTTACTGAAACTTCTTACAGCAACATAGAATGCCTACAGCAATTTATAGTGCTATATTTTATGAACTTCATCTGCATAAAGGAGTTAAAACTCTGTTTTCTTCTGTTATTAGGCAAGCAAGCTAGACATCCATTACTAAAACCAACATCTTTCTTACATCAAATTTTTTAGGCAACTTAAAGAGCAACTACTTTTTGTAGCGCTCCAAGATTGTTCTAATTGCAATTCCTAGAGTGAAGTGCAGTGGCAGAAGCCTCTGGCTTCACCACATACAACTACAGGTCCTTCGACTCCCTGCTCTAATTTTAGAGCACAGATAATGCCGTACAAACCCTTGATGGAGGAGAGGGCTGAGAGTAGCAGCAGCACGGCTGTTTTGATGCTCAGATTCCAGAAACTAGGTGAAGTGATAAAATGAGCCCTAATGAAGGAAACAGAGTATCCAACTGAATCGTTCTTCACAGCTTGTTCCTACATTCAGTAGTTTGGAGAAAAGATTTCCTGTAGTTTGTACCACTCCACTCAAACTATGACTCTCCCCTCCCCACCAGACCCCCGAGATTAATAATGCACAAACCTCAAACACACACGTGTGCGGCGCTGTTTGCAGTCTTCCAATATGGCTCCTCAATAGAAATGCAAAGACCTGTGACACAGCAGCATTTAATAAGTCATTTGCTACTAGATGAAATGCTGTCATTGAGTGATGCAATTGTCCCCCATGTCCTGAGCGTAACGGTCCGACATTATAGTCCTTAATTCATCAATATCCTTTCGTAACTGACAAACGTCCAAGAGCTTCTTCGAAAGGGTTTCTGTGCTGTGGTAATTTTCATTCTCTTCAGCTGAACAGCTCAGTGCTACAGAAAAACAACACCCAAGGTTAAAGCTCTAGCAACTGTGCTCTGTGAATACTTCAACTAGTCAGTCCCCTTTGAAATAAGGGGTAGGTCACTTAAATTTAATTACATCTAGACAAATCATGCTTTAGCATGATGAAAAACCAACAAGTCAGAGCCCAACAGTGCTTCTCTGAAAGACATGCTTTTCTGTTTGCATCAAGATACAGACTTGCCAAAGTCTGATGGATCTCAACAGCAGTGAAAAAAACTGGGTAGAACAGCCATTTCGTAGAGATTTTGGAGGTTTCTGTAGCCACTCAGAAAAGAGGGACAGGAGGGCTTGGGAAATGAGGCCATCTGAGATGATGAGACACTTGAGGACTTTAGGATGTGCTTTAGGACGTGCTTCTCATTTCCTGATTAAGTTTAACAGCTTAGTAAGTGCTGAAGACTAGATGTGCCATTAACAGCAGTGGAGATGAAGTTATCTGGCATGAGGTCTGCCTAGTACATACAGACTCCCCCCCACCCCCAAACCAGACATATACATGTTCAAACAGTAGACGTATATTCCTACCACTTGACACCAACAGCTTTAAAACGAAACCACGTGACGTAGCCATACCAGGCCTGCTTACGTCTCACCTCCCTCATAATGAATTTATAGGGCAGAACATGTTTGAGAGAAAAGCATCCACTAACCTTCAGGTGACTGCTGTGTGACTCAGGAGGGACAGACACCTGGCTACACATCTTTCTTTTCTAATGGGGTGAACATATACATGATTAGATCCATATGAAGAGCCAGCTAAGCTGCTCTCCTGACATGGCAAGGACCTGTGTAGTCAGATGTGTTTAAGTGGCCTGGGTGCACTAAAAGCCCAGCCTTTCCAGAGAGCTCCAGGAGTGCAGTTCGCCCACAACAGCTCCAGCTGAATAGCAAGGAGGCCACCGGCCTGTCCAGCTGGCATTTTCAAGCACCACTTTGCTAAACTGTTGCTCCCCTGTGTCAAAACACTGTCAGCATTGGAATGACAACATCACTTACATCTGATTCCCAGCAGTAAGGAAAGGTTAGGCTCCTTGCCCTGAGCTCTCTGGGTAAGAATACTGCACAGTGCTTTCAAGTCAAACAAGCAATGGGACATTTCCTTGAACAACTGGTCTGCTACTGGCATCTTCTCAGATACTGGCTGCCTGGACTGCTCCACCTGCTGCATCTGCTGCTTCAGGCAGGCATTCTCTTCCATCAGTCTTTGGTTCTTTGTGAAAAGTAAATGGGAAAAAGGGGAAAGTTAGTCTGCAGAATGCACTATAGCAGAAAGTTTCCTGTTTCAAACCACAAACAATATATTTCCATACACATTATCAGTATTTCTGTACCCCTCTAAAGAGTGTCAGACAGACAGCTTTTACATTGCTATTTCACGTTACCATTGCTTAGTGGCCTTCACCCTTTAAGTTCTCACTCCCTGAAGTAGGGATGGTATCTATCATATGTCTGCACGACAACCAGTACAGCAAAGTATGTAATTAAGCCCGTAAAGCGCTATCACAGGATCTCAATTATTCTATAAAGTTCTTCTCAGCGGGTGTGGTCAGGAGTTGGGTTACTGGAGTTTTTACTTACTTCAGAGAGAGTTTGATTTAACTGCTCTATATTCCTTTCTTTTTCTTCAAGCTCATTTGTCATCTTCTGAACTATCAGCTTCTCTTGCAAAAGCTTCTCTTGCATAGACTAAAGTGAATGAAAAGACAGGTAATGATTTTAAATTTTCATACATTTTATTAGCACTGACAAAAATGCATCCTCAGTAAATTTCTAAGTTTCAGTTACTTACTGGTTTTGTATTAATTCTTCTTTTTTATTTTCTACCATGTTTCACCTGGTAATATTCAGTTGGACCCCAACAGCTCTCTGTACACTAACACAGGTATTCCAAATATCATTGAAACCCTTTAAATAAGCAGTATCTTTTTACAAACAAAAAAAACCTGTTTTGGATGTAAAACCTTACTCCGATATGGAATTCATGAAGTCTAAAATAACCACGCAATATTGTTGGTTCTAACCAAACAGTTTCACTTGAAATAAGCAGCAGATTAATGACAACTGGGCTTCATTTGTGCAATTCCAAGCTATAACTGAAGATATTTTCTGGCCTCTACTTTCCACAAAGACTACGGCAGGACTTCCTACGACCCTTCATAACACAGAATTCACCTCACCTTCTATACAGCTAAGAAGAAAGCCTTTGACACTTGATACTTTAAAACCATTCACACACAACACAGAACAATCTACACAACTCTACTGCGCTGAAAAAAACAACTGCAGGCAAAAAAAAGTAGCTTATTTGTAGTTTATAGTGTCATTTTTAACTGATACAATGATTACTATTTTCAGTAATAATGTAAACAGCAAATTTCTAGGATGCTGTTGTACCTAAGTACCGAAGCTTTCCAGGACTGACTACCAGATCAGTCACAAGCAGCAACAAATGAACAACCACTGCAACACAGAATCAGCTGCTGTCAAGTCCCCACTTTTCACCTACAGAATTGAAACTGAGAAATCATGAGGTATTTCCAAAGTGGTTTTTTGGGGGGTGAATTCAGCATGACCACAGGTGTGTCTCTTGTTAAAAGCACTCATATTTACTCTACTACTTGGCTTTTAGATCTGCAGATGTGTCTTTCTGAAGTTTGCCAGATGACTGTGAAGGAGAAATATTTAAACCATCTTACCTGAATACTAATAACAATGAATAGTGACTATATAAACTCCCGATGCTTTAAAACAGAGAGATATCGTCAGCTTTCATGAAGAAAAAAAATCCTCTTTTGTCATTAATGGTGTTACAAATCCAATACTGTGCTAGCACAGTGCATATAGTGTCCTCTCCACCCCTAGCTCAGCACATTGATATGTTGACCAGTTTCAATTATAAGATGCAAATCTGATCCCATCATGCTCAAAATACAGCTGGAGCACCGGTAACAACGGCGCATGCCTTGGCACTGTTTTGATTGTAACCTTCAACAGAGAGGAACCAGAGGCCGTGATGGGGGGAGGAGCAGCACTTCACAAAGCAATGGTTCTCAATTTATGGAAAGACACTGTCCCAGAAGAATGTTTTTTCTTCAATCTCTGTAGGATCAATCCTAAAGATTCTTCTTCCAAAGCAGATAATTCTCACAGGAAATTCTATATGGTAGCTTAAATAAAATGCTATAGAAAGGTCAAGTTATTCTTTAGTAAAAGCTACGTTTAAATTGCTGCACTATGACTCTGCAACCTTGTTCAAAGACAGAAAAAAACCCCAAGCTCCCGACTTGACAGAACCACAGCAAATTGTGTCAAGGTAAGTTGGTTTGGGGGTCTTAGGAAAACAATTTAGCTTTGGAAAAGAAGTCAAATTTCCTCTTGTCAGAGTTGCTTCTAAGACGTATGAAGAATAGAACTTTTATGGTACCAGTACCAGAGACTGTCACACATAGGAAACTATGTCTATATACATGGTAAAGGACAGGCCTGTATGCGGCCTACAGAGTGGACAAAAAGCCATTTAAATGATTTGTCAGCTATAAGAATTACTAGTGCTGATGATGAGAAGGCAGGGAGGAGTGAGAGTCAAGGCAGGACCAAGACTGAGTGGAGATTTTAATGGGCTGACAACTCACAGGAGGTGCACAGCCCTCACAGAATTTCCCAACACACTCAGCTCAACACTGCACAAGCGGTGAGGAAAGCCAATGCTTTGTCATACCCTTTGCAAAACTGAAAAACAGTGGTGCTAAAATTTACACGCTTAATGCGGCTTAAAACCCCTCACACTTTATTTTCCTGTAAGTAATAAAAATCACCAAGCAGAACCCAGAAATGACTATTTGTTTTTACAACTCTTTTCACACACTCGACCTGCTTCTCAGTTCACCCACACCGTGCCCCTCGAAAGGAAGTGCTGAAGTAACATGTATCCTGAAGATAAGCTGTGTGAGAAAGCACAGCTTCACACTCCAGTGGGAGGAAGGGGAGGAAGAAAGAGGGTCCTGCCCCACCTCAAAGGAAACACCTTGGCCTGGGAGAGGGCAGGAAGTAGCTCTGCTTCAGGCATTTCCTTTGTCCTGCTTGCAGATGAGCAGAACCTGCAGTGGTGTTGAACCGTCTTCAGTTTTTTAAACACATTATCTACCGAGAAAAGTGGCCATATTGGGTCAGATGGAAGGTCCCTCTCGCTCTGTCTGTGGCAGCAGCCAAACAGAAGATGCTGAGGAAGGAGGAGGAGAACAGGGCAATGCATGTGCTCAAAACAGCCTCCCAGCTTCCAAGTATCTTCAAATTTTAATAGTCTTTGATAATAAGCAAGTTCAGGGATACCCAGAGCCCCAGTTATGACACAGTCATTAGTACTACCACTTAGACATTTCATGTTCATGCCAACACCAGACATTAAAGGTTTGACTGTGCAGTCTTCCTGAGGGTGGGTAGGTGGTAGGGAAGACACGTTCAGAAATATTACCTTCCCCAGTATATTTTCAGAACTACATCTGCCATTGAATTTATATGACACTGCTGTGGAAAACATAGGCATGATTCATGTCAAGATAGAGTATGGTATGATAAGTGTAACTGTTGTACCCTGTGTGGATCTGGGGTGATTTGTGATCACCATGACCTGTATAATAATTGTAGTGAATGTTGGAATCAAATCAAGAATGTGTAGGAATATAGAGTATGTTTCTTGCTTGGAACAATGTAACTGCCTTTGACAAACACTCCCTAAAGCAAATGTAAACACTCCCTAGGCCAAACGTACACACTCCTTAGAAAACCCTCCCCTAGAGCTGATGCAATAGCTGCTTAGAAAAAGCCCATGGAAAGATGAAATCCCGGGACTTTCAAAAGATCCAACAGGAGGAAAGCGCGCCAAGAGGTGGAAACCTTCAAACTTCCAAAAGATCCACTGGGAGGAGGACACTACCCCAGCAATTCAAAGGACCCAATGGAAGAAGAGCAGGACGACTATCTGATGGAAGGAGTATAAGAGACACTGCTCTTAGAACTCGGGGTGTGTTGTGGCAGAGCTGAGGCTCTCCGTGCACCCAGCGCTGCTTTGCCTATTGCTTCTCACCCTAAATTGATTGAACCCAAATAAAATTATATACTTTTTATAAAGATTGGCTTCATTCATTTGTAACACTGCAAACTACTCTAAAACCAACTAGAATATTCCAAATAATGTGCACATGTTCAGCTCATGAGTTTAATGCAAACTACTGGAAGTAGGAATCAGTATTTCTAAGAGATACACCTAACATCTATCACTCTCTGCTACCTTAATCTTAAAGCTCAGAAAAAGCACATGTGCTTACCAGCTTGGCTAAGCCCACAGGGCTATCATTTCCCAGTTGCTCATAGCACTGTGAGTCCTCCATACTTCACCCTTAATTTTTCCATATGTTTTCCAAAGTTACTATTTGATGGCATTACTCCCAGCCTGGCACAGTTTGGGTTTATTGTGACTAACAGGATTGACAGATGTACTCTGAGTATCACAGGCATCAAACAATCTGACTGACTTCTACTGGCTTTTTTGTACCAAAAAAAAAAAAAAAAACCCAACAAAGTTAATTTTGTGATCTCTAAATTAATCATGTAAATACAGGTTTTTCTAAATACCACTCTCATCTAAAATTTTTCTCTTTCTCAAGATCTACTATATATGCAGCATGACACCTTGCCAAGAGCAGCCAGAATTTTACTCCCTCACACTCATCAGGAGAACAAATCAATGAAGCAAAACCACACAAGGAAGATCAAAATCATTTCACCACCATTAAGAGCAAATAGAAACTAGTACTGCTTCATACACTGCCGGCTGAAACAGAATTTCTTTGTTTTCAGCTTGCAAGGTAAAAACAATGAAGTGAAATACATTCTCAAGCGTAAGTTTACACTGTGGCAGAAGACAGGGAATAAAATGACACCTTCTGAACTGAAGATTATTGTATCTCTGTGCTGATAAGGGATTTCAGTTTCTAATGAACTCATTTTCAATGCTTCCCAGTGAACAAATGTGGAAGGCCAGAGAGATCAAGGATACAAAGAAGCTGTTGCAGTCTACAAGTAATTTGAGGGCTAACACCATTTTCAAATCTTATTTTCTGTCCTTATATAAAATACCTCAAAAGAGGAAAAGCAAGAGAAAGACCTGGAGTACAGAACACTGTGTTCACAGACTGTCACAACTACTTAGTATCTCCCAGTCTCAGCTCCCTAAAGTCACTTCAGACTAAGCACACAAAACAGCCATCTGTAGAAACGTGCACAAAGATCACTAGTCCCAGGATAAAGGTGATGGACAGAAAAAGATCCAAAAGTTTAGGAAATATTAAAAGATTTAGGTTGGTGATAATACATTTAAGCAAGTTGTGCTTATGTCTTATAAGCACAACAAATACATGTAGTATATATGTACATAATCTTAACTAAACTACGAAGAGGAACAAAGAACCTCCAAAAGGCTACAGAGTTAAACTTGAACTTTTATTTTAATTACAAAATATCCAAAACGACACTTGCCCGTGTCACAATTTTTGCATGTAACTGGCTGCTCCATGAAAACATCTCAATTTGATAAATTTTGTTTTCTTCAAATCTAGAGATGCTTAAATAATTTTGCTTTTCAGTTAGCAGACGTATGTTATGTTGCAACTTAAATTCCCCTACTGATTCTCTACAGATGTATTTAAAACACTGTAATTAAATCAAGCAATAATATGGTTGCTGACAGGAATCAGGCCTGCTATTTACCTGCATGGTAGAGAAAGGAAGCAATTTGATGGTGAAAGACAACTTACTTTCAACGACTACAAATAAGTAAACTTGGCTTCAGTGTGCAAAGTGGAAATAAGAAAGTACATTCTCTTAGCAAGTATTATGCAAGTAGTTTTGTGTGTCCATTATTTGGATTCTAGCTCCACAGAATGCTCCCTTCCACTTCGGAAGGAGCAGGCATTGAGCTGACTGCTTACTACCATTTGGGTGTTCTTCCAAACCTAACATTCACAGAGTCAAAGCAGAAGCAACTTCCTTGTTCTCAAGGGACAACCCTGTAACTTCAGTCTCTCTGGAGGGCAATGAAGAATAAAACGTGGAGACAAATTCCAGTCTAGAAGAAGAATGAAGAAACTACAACCTATTGAATTTGGCAGTATGTGCTGAAAATGGGTTGGTTTGTTTTTATAAATGCTCAGCTTTTTCTAGAACAAGTCATGCCTTCTTCCCTACAGCTTGTATAAGGTTTCCTTTTCTCCACCAGAAACACCGGTCACTAAGTAACTTTCAAGTCTCAGGAGCCTGATTGTATCAATCCAATCCACAGAGCTGCAACTGGCTCCTAGCTGACAACTTCTACTGTCTTGAAAAATCATTGGCTCCAAGCTAGGTGCCCAAGATCTGCCAAGAGAGTTAAGATATCTGAGTGACATGTCAAAAAGCACTTGAAGTGGGACTTGCTTAAACAATGTGAAAAGGTATGGCTTAGAAAGGCACCTGTCTCTACTAAGGATCTCAGCAGTGAAGCTCCTAATCAATAGCACTGTTTGTACTTTGCATGATCACCTGAACCTCAACGTTGGATGGGAGGCTTCCCCGTTGCTTAGAGGGGCAGTCCTCACACTTGAAACAGGCAGTTCTGATATGACATCCACTACGTCAGCGGAGTAAGGATGATACACATGCAACAGTTTTTCACTTTATGATGAGTACCAGCAAAGTGCTAAACCATACAAACGGCAATAACGAATACATTACGAGCTGCAAGAGAACACAAGTCAACTACAGGCCATAAGATTAAGTTCTTGACATTTCTAACTTTGCCTCTTATTTTGGAAGATAAAAGGATGAAATTCAACTTTACTAATGTTATCTTTATGAACTAAAAATGTATACAGTAAACAAGAGAAGATACACTTGTCCTTACCTGCATGTCCAAAATCAGTCCAGCTATCTGATTTTGTTGATTGTCTATAACCTAGAACATAAAATTGAGCAATTTAAAAGGCTTGAATCTCTTCAGATCCTTTTTTAAAAATCAGCTTACAGGTGCATAGCCATAGATTTTAAATATAATTTTTGAAAATGTAAATGACAAGACAGAGAGTTTAATTCCAACAGAACAGGAAATTCATGCAAAATAAATGTACTGAACAGAAACCGACAGGTACTGAAAAGAAATCTGAATGAGCAACAAAGGTGTAATTCTTTAGCGAGATATTTATTTCTAAAGTAAAAAAATAAAGAAATGCAGGACTCAAGGATAAAGATGCAACCAACAGATCATTTGCAGACTAACCTTACTGGCTTTCTCATTCTTTTCTCTGAGACATTCATTCTCACTCTGAAGCTGTTTTGTGTCCAACATGGGAAGGCGAATACCATCTTCCAGGCATTTTTCTACTTTCTGTTGTAAACTGCCATTCAACATGAAATAAAAATTAAGTGCACTGACAGAAATCAAAAGGGCTGTGTGTTGCAGTGAAAAAACAGAAAGTTGCACCATCTCTCAACCACAACTGTAAAACTGTATCTAGCAGCATCCAGCCTTAGGAATGGGCAAACCAACAGTGGATGAACGATGCAAAAATCCTAAACTACGGAAGTTACCGTGGCACTGACAATAACAGATTCATGCAGGAATGGGTTTACGGGCCAGATTCCCTGCTGCATCTCCCCAAAAGCACAGCTCTGGCAGTACAGAGTAGGGAGAGAGAGCAGAGAGGAGCAAAGAAAAGAGTTGTGGTGTTCACAGCTGCTCTGTGCTACCGTGGGAGGCAAAGCCAGCACCAGCATAGATCAGAGGAGTCTCTGGACGTCTCAAAGTTACAGGAGCCTTAAAATCAGGCGCTCTCACTGGGACACATATAACTTAAAGCAGAGTCCAGAACTGGAGGCTGCACTGAGTAGTGGTGGCCTTCTATCCTGTTTTCGGCTGGGACAGAGGTAATTTTCTTCCTAGTAGCTGGTACAGTGCTGCGTTCTGGATTCAGTGTGAGAATAATGTTGATAACACACTGATGTTGCTAAGTAGCGCTTATTCCAAGGTAAGGATTTTTCAGTTTCACGTGCTCTGCCAGCGAGGAGGCGCACAAGAAGGTGTGAGGGAGCATGGCCAGGACAGCTCACCCAAACTAGCCAAAGGGATATCCCACACCATAGGATGTCATGCCCAATATATAAACCCGGGGGAGTTGGCCGGGAGGGGTGGATCTCTGCTCAGGCATTGGTCAGCAGGTGGTGAGGAACTGCACCGCGCATCACTTGTCTCTTCTTGGGTTTTATTTCTCTCTCTTTGTTATATTACTTTTCATTACAATTATTATTATTATTCTATTATTATGATTGATATTATTTTATTTTATTTTGGTTATTAAACCGTTCTTACCTCAACCCACAACTTTTACTTATTTTTCTATTCTCCTCCCCATCCCACTGGGAGGAGGGAGGAGTGAGCGAGCGGTTGTGCTTAGTTGCTGGCTGGAGTTAAAACCATGACACTTATCCTTCCTGCCCTCTGTGATCTGTAAGGGGGAGCATAGAGCCAGTCCTGCCAGCTGCTCCCACACAAGGGCATGACCTTCAGACCCTTAGTAGCTCAACTCAAACTCCTAGGGTGTAGCTAGCGTCTCTGCCTGCTCACCTTCTCTCAGAAAGGAAATACATTTTACTAGTGTTAATCTTGCTGTCTAATTTAGAAACCAGAAGCCACCTCAACGATTTCCAGGCTTTCAGAAAAGACAAGATGATCCCCCTCTAAATTATGAGAGCATGAAGTAAAAAGGCCTTTCATTGGTAAGATGGAAACAATGCGTCAACAATTTGGCTGCCAAGGTGTCCCAACCAGCTTGCCTTTCATCATGGAAACACTTTCAGACTCCTGTGGCATGCACCTTTACCCAATGGAGGGACAGTGAACTGCAGTAACATCCACATAAATTATTAAAAGTGATTCCCCTCTGCTTTCTCCCTCCCCTTTTTTTAAAAATAAGAGTTTAAGTACCTCCCCTGATCTAAAATGTACCATAGCAATAATGTCTCCATGTCTCATTTGCAATCTTCTAATGCATATCTGTCCCATTTGGTTTTTCAGTGTTATGCAAGTTCAATGACAGCAGATTAGCTACAGCTAAATCCCCCTGTAAATACCCCCACACCCTGTGAAAAGGTAAAATTTATTTAAATCTTTCACCCTTCCCTGATACACCCATCAGCCAATATCTAGGGAGCTTTTCCACAGCTCGTGATAGGATTAGTTACCAAATAGGAGTGCTGACAGCTTCTATACAATGCCCCTTTGCTGCACGTTCATTCTATCCCCTACCTGGAAGCAGGCTATGATGCCACTGCAGCAGTGTCCCACATCTTTAAAGAAAGATAGTGAAGAGTGTCCTAGGCAGACTCCTCTCGGTGGCATTACTTGCAATTTGACACAAACAAAAATCCTGTTGTATTTTCGGTTGCATTACACCATTGTTCTGCACAGTAATGTATTTATGCCATGAAAAATCATTAGCATTGTAATTGATTAAGAGTGCAAATAACAGTAGGTCCTGACATCAGGTGGGAAAGTACACCCGTTCCAGGGTACAGCCCAAGCAGCTGTTCATACCTCTGTACTGTCGTGACCAGCTCTTTTTCTTTTTTCTTCTGACACACCAGTTGCAATTCCCTCTCTCTGCACTGCGATCGGGCCTCTCCAAGCTTCTTTTCTAACTCAGTCATAGCTTCCTGAAGTTGCTTGTTCTTCTCTTCTAGAATTTGCAGCTAAGACAGGTCACATTAGTCAGACACAATGCCACATTAGCAGAGGGCCTTGTGGCAGACCACAGCCTTGCAGTTGCCTTCTATATAATCTTAGGCCCATTTAATTTATCTGAGAATCCCTGACAGCTACAGTGCTTTCTAAAATATTGAAATACTTCTCTTCTTAAACAGATAGGGAAAAAAATATATGTTGAAACGTAAAAGATTTTACAAGATATTCGGGAGCTTATTTGTATTTTTAAAATGTACACCAAACTCTCTTTACCTTACCTGTTTCGTCTGCCCTTCTATATCATCCAGCGTTGGTAGGTCAGCCAGGTATTTTTCTAAGGTTTCAATTCGTCTTTGTTTTTCTTTGTTTTGCTCAGACTCTTTCTGGCATTTCTTTTTCAGGCTATTAATATATCGGTCTCTAGTTTTAAGCTAGAAGAAAGTAAGAGTACATGTTTTATGATTACAGTGAAAAGTAAACCTGCTTTGAAAGCAGAGGCTGGTCACTCTTCAAGAATTGTACTCTCAGCTGTGTGAAAGGGTTGGTTACTGCAGAAAACAAAACCAAAGAATGATTAAACCCAGCAGCTCCAAGTTATAGACCCACACGTGACCTCAAACCACAGTTGCTTCACCCCTGCCCAGAACACTTCATGGGCCTCACAAACTGAAAACACGAACAGTTCAACAGTTAAAATATTCTTAACTTTTTCAACAACGGAGATGTTCATATCCAGCAAACGATAAGGAAATATTTTAGACCATCCTCTTCCTTTGGCCTAGGAAAACAACTTAAAACATAAGGACCAAGAATTTAACCAAACAAGAACGGGAGCCAAAAACCTGACTTAGGTGCAGTCCGACAATTACATCAGAGGACATCAGAAGAGAATAGTGGCTTTCCTGAACACCTTTTCTATAGGCATCTTAATTGTCCATCAGCCTGCAAAAGGTTTCTGATATTTTACTATCTTTGCTTGTGTTCATGGTACTTACTTTGCTTTACTGCCTACGTCAAAAAAAGCAGGTAGGCAGGAAAAAGTATTTTCCAACCATAGTCCAATTTAATGAAAAACATTATCTCTATTGCTTGAACTAAGGTGTATTAATTCACAGGTGACAAACACTTGTCACTAGAGTAAATGCTGTACATATTTTTATTTCAGTGCTACAGACATCCATCTCACTGAGAAATAAATGTGTGACACTGTCAATGTCAAGAGTTCGGTAACAGAGACTACTGAAAAGTTTAAGTCAATAATACGTGGAAAGTTTTTAGTTTCTATGTGGGCCACAAAACTGAGGATTGCCAAGAGGCTGGAAATCTTCCTATCTTTTATTTTATCAAGACCTCAAAACTGAACAAAGCTTTCAGGCTGCTTTAAAATCTTTCTGATTAGACAAAGCCCAAGTAAACCTCACATTCAGTAAGGGAAAGCTGCAACTCAGCCATGATCTTTTGCCACAGTATGTGCTTCAGAACCACATACTCCCTCCCACACTCCAAGCCTTAAGGCAGTGACATAAATATGCACATGTAAGCCAGTGTTGCACACTAAGTATTACCAGGAGTCTGAACATTAGTTAAGTGAATCCCTTCCCTCTGTTTCTCACAATACCACTGAGGATGACAAGTTGACAAGTCAGAAAAGTCAGAATACTCCAGTATTTGTGCAACAAAGATTACATGATTTCCAAATCTTCTTGTCTTGCATATATATCACAGGGGATTTCCTCTCCTGTAACCTCTTTCCTTCTAATAGCTACAGTGTTTGCCTTGGGATTTCTCATGCCCTCTCTAAATCCCCAGCATCACCCCAAGGACCCTTTCTATCTTCTGTTAACAAAATTAAAAAAATGTTTTTTGGTTTTTTTTTTTTCATTCATTCTTGCTGACAAGACAAAGCTGTTGAAAACAAGCTTTGAGGGTTTGTGGGGTTTTTTTGTTTGGTTGGTTTTTTTGTTTGTTTGTTTGTTTGTGGGTTTGTTTGTTGTTTTTTTTGTTTTTTTTTTTTTTGGTTTGGGTTTTTTTTTTTTAATTTCCTCCTTCATACACGCACTACTGATGACTTTGTTGGGGCAGGAAAAAACCAGGAAAGCTCTCACCTCTTGACAATTAAATATTAAAAGCAAGGCCACAGAAATCATAGGGGAGAACACTACTACAAGCCATCAGCAGTACCTTACAGGAGTCCTTCACAATTACCCACAGCAGAGGGAGAAGGATCAGCCAGCAGGGTATGGGTGTCTGAACCAAAGCATTTGCAGCCCAGCAAATTTCCAGATGAAATGCCTTCAAAACTGAAGCAAGGACTGCAAAATCTGAAGATGCCAAGAGGCGCATTCATGCCTGGCATAAGGAAAAGGAAGAACCTAGGCATTCATGATGTGGACACTGGTAGAGAGTACTGCAGTATCTACCGTAGCAGGTTCCCTCAGGAAGGAAGCTGTGAGGAACTACCATAACTACCAGCCAGCCACACCAGGGAACAGCTGCCTTCTGCAATTTCAGTGCCAGTTAAAGAGCTCTCGACCACCTTAGTGCTCATCTCAGTCCTATACTGACTACACACGGAGCCTAGGGGAAAAAAAAAACCTTTCTCTTCATGCATCAGTTATTCACAAGGTGGTACAAATACTTCCTTGCTTGGTAGGTCTGCGTGGGGCAAAGACAGGTATGATGCCAGCAGCGAACAAATTGCGCCTCTGTCTTCTGCCGGCCCTGCAGTTTCTCAAAAGGAAAGCATGAAGTGCCTCCACTCTAGTGCCAGAAGAGACGATGTGCTTCAGAACAAGAGGACTTCTAGCCTGACATCTCATCTCCCACAGCAGCCATAAGCATATGTCTGTGGTAGGGAAAGAAAAAGCAAAGCACATTTTTCCAGCCTCCAGCTGCTTTCACCATAGCAGCTGTCCTGAGGCAGTTATTATTTCAGTGCTTTTGGAGGAAGGCAGCACTTCCATCAACTCACCCAGTCTTCCCTTGAGCCCACCTATAATCTTAGCATCCATAACAGCCTTCAGAGAAACAATCTACAGGTTTGCTATAGAGAATTGGCATGAGGACTTGGCTTGTTTTGCTAATCATCTAATTGGCTCCTAGAGCTTCGCTAGAGGTTCCCTCACTCCTGCAACGGGAGCTGCAGTGAGGAGCTGACTGCCTTCTGCCCCTTCCAGGCTGCCTGTGGCTCTGCAGACTCCATCACACTCCCCTTCAGTCACTTCTTTTCCTGTGCAAAGATTTAATCGTTCCTCCTGTGATTTTCTGATGGAATCTGCTTTGTTGCAGACAGAAGTAGAAATATATGCCAGCAACCTTAATCTAAACTTCTATGTGTTCTTTTAGCACACACTTACAAGCAAACCTCACCTGAATGTTAACAGCATTTTCCCCACTCCCTTGACAAATCTGTCTTTGAGCTGAAAAAACTCACCCTCTCCAAAGAGGCAGGCATTTACTCAGAAATACCCCTGTCACAGGCATCAATCCCTCTGATCAGTACAGGAATCGTGTTTTTGTCCCCTAACATCAGTCACTGACCTAGGACACCAAGTCTTCGGGCTCTGGGCTGATCTCCCTGTGAGCACAGTAGAGGAACTCCAAAGATGGCTTTCCCCAGGCTCAGCACTCAACCTACTGCATGGGTTCCCAGCTTGCCAGATCCCTGCAGGAAGACAGCACAACTCCTTCCTCCCTCCGCAGTCTTCCCTTAAGCAGAAAGGCACTAATTTTATTACAGAAACACATGCTCGCTCTCCCTCCCTGCCCTTTCTCTCCTCGAGAGCCTTTTGTTCAGTGCACAGAATGGATGTGAAGGGTGAATCAGGCTCCTCGCTACAGACCACCCCGCTGACACAAGCACTGCTGCACAGGTCCTCACCACTGCCACCACCTACAGCGGCAGTTCCTGCACAGTGAGGAACACAAGCAGTAAAAACTGAGGAGGAAGCAGCAGCATCCAACTTAGGCCTTTCCTGAATGTTACCCTTAGTGAAAAGCATATTGCAGGATTCATAGGAAATGGTAAGGCAGAATTTGAGATTAATTATGCTTTCTTCTTTGTCTTCCCACATGCTAATTCACTGTATTATACGGCTCCAATCCCTTGAACCTGACTTAATATAAATCTAAGCCAAGTGATCAAAGACAAGGTAAGAGTGACAATGTATCCCCAAAACATTAATTGGGAACCACTTGGTCAACGGCACATTCCTGCTTGCAGCAAAGGAAGGCTGTCAAGACATTCAAAACTACCCCTGGGTATTGCTTCAGCCTCCAAAGAAATCCTTTGTCAAGACAATCCCAAGAACACAGCCATCCAAGCCCCTTCCTTGTCTCAGACTAAAGTCTACTCTGCACATCCTAGCAAAGCTGCAATAGAATCACTCCTGCTGAACAGGCACATACAGGCTGGTAAGTGTATCTCAAAGCACGAAGCCTGCATTTACAAGCCATGCTAAAAATAGGGATTTCATTTTCACACTTCATGTGTTTAGATGATATTTTATTTACTATAATAAACACTTCAAGCTACATAAATTCTTAGAACAAGGCAGCTTTTCTTCAAAGCAAGTTTAACTGATACCTGACTAAAACTGTCATGTTTGCCATTTCATCTAGTGTTGTTTTTTTAGGACGTATTCACTACAAGTTCAGATTTATCCATTGCCAACAACCTACAATCACTAATTATCAATTTTTCTATCACAGACAGTTTAGCTACCTTCTGAAAATTGCTCAGCAATCCACATACTAAGTTGTGTTCTAGCAAACAAAACATATGTTGCTATAACAGTGTCAAAAGGCAATTTGGAACATGAAAGACACTTACTTTCTCCTCCATCTTCTTTTTCTCCTCACTAGATTTGTTTGAAATTTGTTTTACAAATTCACTGAGTTGTAATTCCTTATTCTCAGCTGCTGCAATCTTTCGCTCAAGCTCTTCAAGGTGAGATGTTGATCTTTCTGAAACGTGAGGTTGGAGTGGTATGCTCTCATACTGTGGTTGCTTACAAAAAGAAATAAAATAATCACACAAATGAAAGGACACATACCACCGTATACTTGAGCAGAACAGCAAAAAACAGTCCTGCATTTTTTTCCACTGTCAGGAAGGGTGTGGTTTGATTTGCAAATATTAAAGTATGTGGTAACAGCATGCATTTCGGGAATCTGAAGAAAAAAAAAATAAAGCAGCTGGATAGCTTTACATTCACAGCACATGCAAATAAATGTTGTGGGGCCATTTCCCCCCTCAGATTTATGGAAGAGGTATGACTTTTCTTCCAAAGTAACCCCAGGAAATAATAATAAAAAAAAAAAGTGTTTTCTTTTCTAAACAAATCACTGTCACTACATTATCATAACATTTCCTAGGAAGAGAAACACTATAAAATGGCTATGAGTATATTAAAAGTCAGAGATGATCCAATCTCAAGATCCTGCTAAAGCAGAGCATTACTACTAGCCAAACAGTAGAGCTATCCCACCCGAGGTGCAGAATGGTGCTGGACAGGCCTGAGACTATAGCTACAATCAGAAGGCAGCCTCCCCCCTTCTGTCCTGTATACCAAAACACTCCTCTCTTTCCATTTCATGCAGTTCAGTGTTACTCTTCTACCTTCACTGCCCACAGACAGACAATCACAAAATGGAAATCAATTGCAGGTGGGATGAAAATGGAGATGCATCCCATTAGGCTTTCACTTTCAAGATTCTTTTAATAACATAAATTAGTAACTAAAGAAATTATACAGACATTGTTTTTAGCTAGTAACATTCCTTCAGCAAAGCATTAAGAGAGATTAAGACCTCCAATAAAGGAGATTTGCATCTGTAAATTAATCTTATAGAAGGCACACAAATCAAGCAGAAATCCTAATATATTATAAACTTTTTTAATTCTCTAAATTATGAAAGATGAATGCATCTGCTGCTTTATTTGAAGTGTATTATGATATACTAGGATATGTACACTCAAATTTCAGTTTCTGCATTTTTTTTTTCCCCAAAAAATCTTAATCTAGACAGATTTTTTAAGTATTTTGTAAAAGAATTTCTGGAAGCACCAAAAGCCACATTCCTAGATGTCTGAAAAAGTTTCTGAATACCTAATTTCACACCGAGGCTCCACCTGCATTTCTCTCCTCTCAGACACAAACCAGATTCTCATCTGATGCACAGCTGTGTTATTCCAAGGACATAATTAATGTAATGCTGACACACACTAGCTGAGATCCCGGTGCAGTGTTTGTGACAGAAAAAGGTGAGGTAATAAAAGGAGGACAGAAAAGCTATTTCTCCACATATCTGCCTTTAACATTCTCTTTCTGCACTGCCTTTTAGATATGCTGAGGTCTGGAGATGGAATAGGGCTGCTACCCTGCTGCAGCACACACAGTTCTCAAACTGATCTGCATTTCGTGGTTAGCCTATGCTACCTCATCCTTACACTTTCTGGTATTTGTGCTAGTTAGATAAAAATTAGGACAGGTATGACCAAAATACCACCACACATTCCCTTTCAGACTAAGTGTTACCTAGGAGTACTAATCCATATCCTTTTCAGGTATGTTGTGCAAAGGTATTCCACCAGCCTGTTTGCCTTCTCACATCTTTTCCATCTATTCTATCGTTCCAATCCAACCACTCCTTTGGGTAGTGCCTCTTCCTCCTCCTCTTCAGGAAACCTCCCATCAGTACTTTTCAGTTACTCTCTTACCAAATTATTTATCTCCTAGTTATCTTTCTGTACAACTGTGCTAGATGCATGCTGTTAAATCCTTATTCTTACAGTGTCACAATCTTTCATTCTTACCCCATTTATATGAGGTTTCAAAACAAATATGGACAAATGTTAATGTAGCTTAGATTTCTGTAAACATGCAGTAAACTACGACACAGAGAGGGTATTCCGCTCTATACAATTACATAACCATCAGTAATCACAAAAGCTCTACATTTTAGCCTGCAGTAAGTTGTGAATGTGCTTTCAGGTGTCAGTTACTGGGCAATGGAAAGCTTTGCTGAAAGAAAAATATCCATCCTACCTGCAAATTAGTCATGTAAGGTTCTTCACAGTTCACAAGATGGCTCAGTCTTGCATGTTGAGCTCGTAATTCATTCTCCCTTATTTTCTGATGTAAGTTGTTAATTTGCTGCTTTTGCCTGTAATACACATATTTTATTTGAAAAGCAAAGGAATAGAACAGAGATTAAAAAAACCCCACAGATAGGAGGACCTGTGCTAAAGACTGCTGTAACAATGCTATTTGACTATCCTGGACTTACATTAGCTGTGGGCCTTTTCCCACCGCAGCTAGACTGCAACTAGTCTAGTTTACCACTAGAACTGGAATCTCATCAGGACATAAACTATTAAAATTGTAGCCTTGTAGCCCATACAACTGTTTCTCACTAAGCACAAGGACCACTAATCACCGGCTCCATTGTGTAAGCCTGATACCATCCAGGCCTTGCTAACAACTTCAAGATTGAAGAGGAAATAAAAGACTAGTAAGAGATGAGCATCCTCCCCAGTTGGTGCCAGAGGCTGGATGATTGCCCAAGAAGCATGAAGTCAGAAGAAAAAAAAAAAAAAAAAAAAAAAAAATCTGTGGTAACTTGCACCCCCCCACCTGTAAGGAGCATGCATGCTAATTTACACAGCAAGTGAGGCTAATTCAAATATAACTAACCAATAGCAGATGGAATGGTAATTATGGACCAATGAGTGTAAATTTAGATAGGTTTTTACTAATCATGTAATAGGATAAATAGGCTGTAGTTCCTTTGTGTAGTGTCCTAGCTTTGTGGAATTACCACCTAGCACCCATCTCTGTGCAACTGCTATCTTGGCTCTGTGGGTGAGACTGACTTTTACACGCTGGGTAACAAATCCTGTTTGAGGGACAACAAAACTACAGCTGCAGTGGAACTTTCACTTAAGCATATCCCAAAGGGTCTGTGCTCAATTTGCAATAGTAAATAAAGCTTGCAGAAATACAATTTGAAAACTCTATCAATTTTGTGGGGGTTGAGGGAGGCTTCTGTTGTCATTTGCTCCTAGGGCCAGAGGTATAAGCAGGAAAAAGTACACAGAAAGCAGAACGAAAACAAAACTCACACCTTCATTTTACTTGGACTTCTCCAGACTGGGCCCTCTCTCAGCCAGAGCTGACTTTTGACACAGGTTAAAGAGATTTACAAATCAAGGGGAGCAGAAAGAACTTAGAAAGAAAAAGTAATTATATAAGATAGTCAGCATAGCTTTCCTGCAGGTTTTTTTTTTTGCTTTGCTGAAGACTTTCTCAGTCAACTGCTTTACATAAGATGTACCCTACCCCTAGGGTAAAATACTGCACTGCACACTAAACCAGAATCAACCTCAATCACATGGAGCAGAGGGGGAGAATCCCCTCCCTGGCCCTGCTGCCCCCCCTGCTCCTGATGCAGCCCAGGACACGGGTGGGTTCTGGGCTGTGAGCACACATTGCTGGCTCACTGTCAGTTTTCCATCCACTGAACCCCCAAGTCCCTCTCCGCAGGGCTGCTCTCAACCCCCTCACCACCCAGCCTGGATTTGTGCTTGGGATTGCCCCGACCCATGTGCAGGACCTTGCCCTTGGCCCTGTTGAACTTCACGAGGTTTGCACAGACCCACCTCTCCAGCCTGTGAAGGTCCCCAGGGATGGCATCCCTGCCCTCCAGCGTGTCGACCGCACTGCACAGCTCAGTGTCATCGGCAAACCTGCCGAGGGTGCACTCAGTCCCACTGTCTGTGTCACCAACAAAGATGTTAAACAGCGCTGGTCCCAACACCAACCCCTGAGGAACCCCACTCATCAACCACTCTCCACTTGGATATTGAGCTGTTGACCACAACTCTTTGAGTGAGACCATCGAGCCAATTCCTTATCCACCTTGTGGTCCATCCACCAAATCCATGTGTCTCCAATTTAGAGAAAAGGATGTCATATAGGACAAAAGATGGATTAGTTGAGAAGATGCCAACTGCCGTTTTTAAAAGGAAAGATAAAATGTGAAAACCCAATTAAAGGGAATATTTTAGCCACATAAATTCTCCTAGCTAGCCATCAGCATCCCAGTTATTTGGTTTACGAGAGGAATTTAATATTTCAAAAATAGTGAACATATTAGAAATTAAACTTTTAAGCTATACATGTTGCAGAAGACATGACGCATGCCTACAGAACCCATTTTTATAGGTTTATATCTATAAAGAATAGCAATGAATGGAAAAACAGTATAAACACGTTGAAATTTGTTTGTGCCTTAGAACAATTCATTCAATGTAATTCATAAAAACAGAGCAACTGAATGTATTTATGTGACACCATAGCAAGTCTTAAAATATTCTGTATCACCACAAGTGCTTTTGAGGCTTCCCTCTTCCATTCTGTTATCTGCATGCAATGAGCTTGTACAAATATAAAATGCACATGTAACGCTGAAAGACTTTGTATAGTTCTGGTCGGCATCAGTACGATGGCACTACAAACAAAAAGCTTCAAACTTACTTTAGAAGAAGCAGATTGGAAGATCAGGTAAAAGAATATGCTCTTAACTTACAACAGACCAGCTATGAGTCCAAGGGCTTGTATAATTATATGAGAAAATATAAAGCCTTGATGACTTCTGTGCATGCTTGGTCACAGATACCAAAATTTAGTATGAGTTGTCTTAACCTATGAACAGAAGTAGTTTTTCATTGTTTATCACCTTATTACTCACTAGACAGATCAATGAAAATATCTTTGCCCCACATGTTTTAAAATTATTTATCAATTTACCACTTATCCCTTGAAGGCACTACGTGATTTTCTGTTCATGGCCGTTTGGATCTTAGCAGTGCCTTTCTTCACAGGTATGATTTCAATAGCCTAAACTAAACACTACAGCCTAGAGTAAATGCTTTAAAAATATTTTTGAACTTCCAATGTAGTTTGAACTACATTACCATATTTCCTTTCATAATCCTTTCCCTACCCTATCAAATCCCTGCAGGAAAAAAGGTGAGACAAATTAATCCATGATGAAACAGAGCTGCGCTAGCACAGAGCGCAACTAGCTTGCTTCTTCTCACTCTGCAAAGCGTGAAACTCTCCACTGTTATAAAACCTTGCCAACAAACCACACCGTAGAAATGTTTTAAGGCTGTGTACATCCCGCGCAACTTCTTTGCATAACCGCCTCTCTGAAAATATCATTAACCTCACGGCACCCAGAAATAAAAATTATGAAAACAGCCCAGCAGTCACAAGCAGAATAGAAGATAAACACCATAGAAACATATTTACTATTTACAATGCTGTAAGTCTTTGGAGACCTCATACCAGATGCATTTTATCACTGATGTTCTCATATGCTAAGACAGTTTTAATCCTCTGTTAGCCCACAGCTGTTACTATTAATCCGCTGCATAACCACAGGCTGTGAGCTTTATTTAAAGGGAGTGTAGAAAGTTCAAATGCTTTCACAAACACAGCTCACGTATTACGGTGGGAACACTGTCCCCAGGAGCTGCCCTATTACCAATCAATCTCCCCATCATTTCAAAAAAAGCCCCAAAACAACCCCACCAGTCTTCAGCATTTAAGTGCTTTCAAGTTTCTGCTCAGATACATGGCAACTATCACTTTTGGTAGGCCAAAACCAGACATAAATAAGCCTAAAACGGAGGCATTTTGCCTTGTGGACAGCAATGCTGCTCTCACCTTTTATGTTTATAGATGCAATGTTTATAACTTCATGTGCATCCTCTGTCTTTGCAGACAGCCAGGCTAGAGCAGACTGGCAAACTCTCCTCTACTCCTCCCTTTCTCTGATCACCTGCTAGCACCATCAAGTCTCCCTAAGGGTTCAAGATGTTTTTAAAAACAAAACAAAACAAAAAAAAAACCAACACAAAACAAAAAACCGAAACAACAAAAAAACCACAACCAAATAAAAAAAAAAAAAAAAACACAGCCCCTCCCCCCTGCCAAAAAAAAACAACAAAAAAAAACACCAACCAAAACTACAACCAACCAACCAAGAAACAACAATAAAAAACCTTAACTTCTTCCCTCCTCTCTCCTCTCCCAACCCATAGACACTGAGGTTACACAGCTGCACTCTCTCACTCTGACCTACTCCTTTTCCTTTAACTTTTGACATAGGAATTTACAATCACTCAGGCTTACAAAGACAGCTCCAGACATAGAGCTCCTCAAACTTTTGTGACTCCAGAAGCCATGTGCATACTGTGCAGGCTGTGGCACAGAGGAATGACAGGAGCCCACCCTTGGCACTCACGTTTACAGAAACCAGACTGTAGCTCGCACAACCTGGTTCAGAGAAATTACTGTAGCTAGGTATCGTGGAAACTGGTCTCCTCCACAATTTCCCTATTTTTTTTTTCCATGAGTGACTGTTACAGTTCTATGTTGATAGCCAAGTAAAAGTACTGGTGTATTATGTGAATGTCACAGGACTTCTTACATGGTTTCATTCAGTTCCTTTGTCCAAAGAGAAAATACTCTATTTCACATCAAGTGTCTGTCTGACACATCCCTTCCCCTTACACTGAGACTTAAGGAAGAGAGAAAAGGAGGCAATACCCTGCTCTAAAGTCATCAACCAAAGGGACTCAGAGGGGAGAAAATATAGGGTTTTTTTTAAAAAAAATACAATGCTTGAAGGCTGTTTTTCTCAGAAGCAATCTGCTTGTTATATTTTCATTATTATTTTTCTTCTAAAAATTTCACTGATACCCTGGACTATGCCTTTTCACCCCATTTTTTGAACCTCTAGCCATGATTTATAAATATCCTGAGATCAAATCCTCCCTGTGCTCCTTCCAGGTACATTCCTTCTGAGGGAACTCAGCTGAAGTGACAGATTATCCAACATGACTCAAGTGGTAGCTATGTGATCTATGGTCCCCTGTAACCAATTCCTTTGTCCCAACTCCCAGATGTTAGTTATTTACATGCTGGCTAGATTATTATGGAAAACCCTACTATTTTCACAAAGTAATGACTTTGGCTTACTTCCAGGTCTTCTAAAATGCACACATCTTTTGTTCCCTTTTCTTCTATTTCCTCAAGCACTCTATTTTTGTAAACAAAATTTCAAGGCTTCAGTTGTGTTTCACGACTGCAGAT